CAGCGCAGTGAACCTCAGACCCCCGTCGGCCCTTCGCTTCCAGGAACAGTCAGGTCTTCAGGCGCCTGCCTGCCGGTGTGAGGAAGGGAGCAGAGCGCGGAGGGGTGGAGCTGCCCGGCGTATGCCTTGGTAGCAGTTAGCATCTCTGGTTGGCGGGTAGTCCTCACACCGACGTCAAGGACTTCCTGGGGGCAAACCCCTGGAGTGAGAAGTGAGAAAGTGCACTAGACCAGGGCCCCCGAGGCCCCCCTCCTCCTGTCTCTGCTCTCCCCACAAGCACACCCTTCTCTCCAGGCTCTCTGAGGAACAGGGTCTTGCGAAGGTGACAGGGGACCCTGCTGAGCTAGGTTCTCTGCACAGTGGCTCTGGCCCCAGCCAACCCCTGGTGCGGGGCTCCCCAGAGGCTCTGGTGGGGTTCACGAAGGCTTGCCTGGTAAGGGCACAAGGAGGATCCCAGGTGGGCACTCAGGTGCCGCTGAATGTCCTTCCAAGTCCAGGGCAAGCCTGGCTTTGTCTTTTCCCCTCAGTCTGGAAGGTCTAAGGTCAAGGTCACAGAGGGGCCCACCTGGCCCATGGTTACAGACCCCCTGAGGACACGGCCAGGTGTCCAGTGACAAACAGAAAGGCAGTAACGGGACCTGTAGATCCTGGAAGTCTCCGTCTTGGTCTAAGGGGAGAATGTCTTGAAAATGTCAGCATCTCTCACTGGAAAAGCTTTTGATTCCATTTAAAGCAGAACTTCTCAGACCTTTCTGACCTCAACACACAGTCAAAAGTGTCCTTTACACGTGACCAAGTGTACATACGCATCTGTTTCATAGCCCTGCGATGGGTTACGGGAAGCAACATGCACCCTTAACAGAGGCAGGGCTCTCTGAGTGTTTCTCTTCAGTTTCATTTCACTGAGGACAGAAGTTGGTTACGGCCTTAATGCGAACTGTGTGCCCTGACCTCCTCTGTTCTGTTCTAATCATCTTTTAAAATGCTGGCCGCAGACTCCAGAACTAATTGCACATCCCGCTAATTGGCAAACACTGATGGAAGACCCACGACTGTCCCTCGGTGACTTCTTCAGGAATTGTTTAAAGGATTAGCAGCTCGGATGGCTAAGCGGACTCATTTTGCAGCGGTTTTTAGATAGAAGTTTAGAAGGAGGAGTCGCTAGATGTGTGGGGTTTCTTTGAAAAAAACAAAGGTGAGGTTGCTCTGGACTGACTGACGTGTGCGTTGGCCGTGGAGATGGTCTGTTCGGAGAGAGTCCCCAGGACTGGTTCCAGGGGAGCTCCCCAGGGGATGGGCCCCAGCAGCCCTCCGTGTGACGTGCAGGGTGTGGATAAAAGCAAGGACACGAGCTGGTGCCTAGAACCACCCTTCGGAAATAAGCTCTCACCTGATGGGTTCGGGGAGGGGAGGAGGGGAAATCCTAAAAGGGTCAGTCGTGACATCCTGCCCGTTTATACCCCGAAAGGAACACCATGTTTGGCTTTCTCAGCTCTTTCCCTGCCTGGGGGCAAAGGTCAAGACCTCCGGATGGTCAGTCGCCAAAGCCACGTGATGGGACTGAGCTGGGTTCAGACCTGCTTCTTCAACCCCAGAGATCTTAACTTCTCACCTGTCTGTTCCTCAGTTTTATTTTACTGTTTTATTAATTTTTAACTTTTTAAATTTTGAAGTGAGAGCAAGTTTATTTAGAAAGAGGCACACTCCATGGACAGAGTGCAGTCCGTCTCACTCAGAAGGGAAGACAGCTCAGGAGATACACACTCCATAAAAAGCGTGGCCACTTGACAGATAAAGACCCAGGCCCAGAAAGGACCGGGTGACTGTCCGGTAGTAAAGGACGGGGCAGGGCCGGACCTGCGCTCCCAGGCCGGCTCATCCAGCCCCACCCACCTGGTGGGTCTCTTGGGGGAAAGGGGCGCCAGCAGCGCCACCTGCTGGCCATGCTGGGCATGGCGCCACAAGTCCCGGGCCGAGCTGGAACGCCCCAGGGACTTAAATTCCAGCCTCTCGGGTTTCCTACCCCCACCTCTCAGCAGAGTGTGCAGGCAACGGGGCCCCCTCTTTCTCTAGCTGCCCAGGTCAGATCGTTATACGCAGCTCGTTCACAGATTACACTGGGTGGGCCTTCTGGCTTGGGCGCCGGACGGCGGATGCCTTCCTTGGAGCCCTGACCGTCACAGCCAGGAGCGCCCTGGAGTGACCACCTTCCCTCCTGCCACTGGCAGCTCGGCTCCCGCTCACCTGCCCAGACCTGGTCCCTGCAGCCCCCACCCCCTTCCTTTCTCTAGTCAGCTGTCCGGTTCCCCCCATCAAGCGTCCTGTGACGTCTTGCCCCTAAAAAGCAAGCCCACTGGCCTGGGCTCCAGCGCTCCCGCAGCTTTACGCCAAGCTCCCCCCACCCTCACCCCCCGCCGCCGCGTGACCCCGCCTCGAGCCTCCCCAGACTCCGCCAGAGGAGGCTCTTTCAGTCCAGCCACCTCCCCCCAGGGCAGCATGTCACAGGGCTGATGGTCCATCTTCCTGGCACATTGTCTGCATCCCCGGGGGCATCCTCTCGCAGGCCAGGCCGCCTCTCTGCTCCCAGGTCCCGGGATGTCCGGGAGACCAAGGCCTTTGTGCCTCTTCTCCAGTCTCTCCTAGAAGCCTCTCAGCCCACGGCTTCACCTCCCCCAGTTCACAGCAGGCCCTTAGGAAGTGGCCTTGGGTCTGATAGCAGGACCTTCCTGACGTGGACGCCGCGTCCGGCTGGATGAGATGTGGGGCTTTGCTTCACTTCTTTCTTGTTTCGCTTTTGACGTTTGTAAGTGAAGCTCTAGGACTGGGGCCTTCTGTGTCTGGTGCAAATCACGGCGGAGGGGGAGCGGGGCACGGATGGGAAATGGGGGCAGGGATGCGGGCGGGGCGGGGGGGGGGGCTGGGCGGGAGATGGGCCAGGGGCGTCGCTGGAGCAGGAGGCACGAGGGGAGACGGGCCAGGGGCGGCGGGCAGCGGGACGCCCCCCGTC